ACAGGTTGTGTTAGGCTTGGAAGAGCTTCATGTGAAAGTGCTCCATAGCCCCAGGGTTACTCTGCAGGTTCACATTCTTGGTCACATCATCGTATTTCTGGATCTCCTGAATGGCATCCAGAAACAGCAGGACAAGAATAACGATCAGCATGATAAAAAGGTGTTCCCGTAGGTCAGCAGCAGGTGCACCAAGCGGGACTTGAAGATTTTCTGCCATCTTGTTGCTGAGATAAAGGGAATGCACAGGAGAAACACCAGAATGACCTTTTTTCTTCTTGATGTTCATTTGTACTCCTGCTTTGGCACATTCTACTGATGTTAACTTTCTATTGTTAATTATTATGATATATTGCCACTGATTTTATTTATTAAGTTTTATTTCTATTACATTGTACTTTTTATTATATTTGCTGCAAGCCACTTCAAAAATCCTGGTTAAGACTGCAGCGCAGAAATTATTGGAAGAAGCAGAATATGGTGAGAGAACATACACAGCTAACTGCCTTAAGGCATGTGGAATGGTACAGTACAGCCCGATCTCATCAGATCTCAGAAGCTATGCAGTTTAGGTACTTGGATGGGAGACCTCCAAGAAACACTTTGCGAGGAAGGCAATGGCACCTCTGTTTAGTCACTGGCCTGGAAAACCCTACTGGGTTGCCATAAGTCAGCTGTGACTGGATGGCACTTCACACACACACACACACAACGGCCTTAATTATTGTAATGACAACTTTTCATTGCCCCCCCCCAATAAAAATTAGCAACTCTGTGGATAGGGGGGGGGAATCCTCAACCAACAGTTTTATGATCAGTCCAAATAGTGTGCACAAACTTCTGGATTCCCCCAAATTGTTCATCTGGCTGATATTAAGTGCAAAAAAATACAAAAGGGGTAGAGAAGAAAAATATTTCAAGGCATGTTAGAAAGTTTTTAGCTTTCGTAACATGGAGAGAAGAAGGATTGTACACTTAATCAGATTACATGGTGCTAGGTACAAACCAGATTTCAAAGTACCCCAGAGATTCCTGGGATAAAGGATAAAAAATGAGAATCTCTTCCTTTTCAAAATATAAAAACCGGCAGTTTTTCAGGACCCCATTTCCCCTACGGGCCTATAAGCATGAAAATAGCAGAAAAACCTCACAGTTCTTTACATTAAGGAAGATGGCAAATAATTTTAGATGATTTATGATTTAGCAAGTCAACATAAGGCAAACTGGGTAACATTTCCTAGTGGTGTGAGGACCAGTAACACCCTCCCCTCCCAGCAGAGTCCCATTTGGAGAACATTCATCTCAAAATATATCTGGAATAAAGGATATTGTTCCTGCCTGTGCAGCTGGGGTTTCTGTTTTCTTGCATATGTTTTGCAGCTGTTGGATTACTCTCATCATTTCACTCTTCCATAGAAGAAGACAGACAATACTCCTTCTAAAATCTTAGATTAGGAATTATGGGCCATATATTGGATTAACGACCAAGACTACTGCCCAAATCACGCACACACTGCACTGACACATCTGCTTTATGAAGAGCACACAGCATTCTCTCCCAAAGAAAATTAAGCGTCTTTTGGCTAGATGCCACAATTAGAAATCAAATGGGATGAGTTTAAATAGACTTTTAATTGAAAAAAGCTTTCAGTTTAATCACACTAATGTGAATGTATACATTGGGCAGTAACTGTTATGTAAAGTGCATGCTACTTTGACAATACACAAAGGCCAAAAAAAGGCTTGTATGGTTTATGCTGAGATCATGCTGCATTTTCTCTGAAACTAAAATTGAATTTAAGAACTTGGCAGAGAGCAAACATTTGCATTGGAAAATGGTTAATTTATGTGCTCTTGTGCTTCTAGTATGAGCATAACAATCCTGTCATTGTGTGCCTGCGGCCCCCCAATCTAATAAACTGCTCTTAAATAGCCTTCTTTCATTACAAACCCACTCCACCCACATTTATGCCAAATGCTGTTTTAAAATGTTTAATGCTCTAAGATTTTCCGCATTAATGTTTCCCCTAAGGGAATGGGCTGACAGAATTAAGTATACAGACCCCCACTGTTGACTAGAACCTTGCAGGTGGCAAGTGAAATGTATGGCACCACTTGTCAGTCATATAATTAAGAATATTTTCATAAATGTACATAAAAGGCATCTTTTTTTAAAAAAGTTCAAATCTCAAAAGAAAGGGCTTGTGAGGGTTTTGTGTTTTTTTGGAAAAATTAGGATGTTTTCTAAAATCCTTGTAATGATTTTCTGAAACTTAAGTTCTGAAATAAAAAACTAAATCTGAGTTTACTGTGGGCCCTATTTTACTGTATGAATATGCTTTTACCCAAAACAAAAACAGTCCTAAATGTAAGACGATGCTCCTAAACATGTATACACAATAAGTTCTTAATTAGTGAACAAACTTGTAACTTGTAATATTTAAAAGAAAGCCCCCCCCCCCCCCCCCGACAACACACTTAGGAAAAAAAACTAGTCTTCCTTTTGGATAAATACAGTGTTACGTTTGTCTCAGGTTTTTTATTTCAAATAAAATAGTCCATAAAACGCAAAGGCTTTTTAGAATTTTTCTGCCTATTCACCCAATATAAGGGTAAACTACAATACACTTGCAATACAATACACTTGCAATTCCTACAATACACTTCTAGGGATCACTTCACTCCAGTCTTGTTCCATCTACACTGGCTCCCAATTCATGGTGCCGGCATTGATCTTTAAAGCCCTATATGACTTGGGGCCTGCATACCTTAAGGAATATCTTCTCCCATATGAACGTACCTACCCACTGTGGTTATCTTTGGAGGACTTGCTTTGGGTGTCCCTGCTATCTGAAGCTAAATGGGGGGGAACCCAAGAAAGGGCCCTCCTGGTTGTACTGCCAAAACATTGGAACTCCTCCTCAAGGAGTTTTGTCTGTCTCCCTCTATCAGTATCTTTCACCAGCAGCTGAAGACTTTATTTTCCTCTTTGACATACCCCCAATAACCGTTATTGGCCTTCTCCCTAGTTTTTGGTGTTGTGTGTGTTTTTTGTTTGTTTTGTTTTTATTTAATTATTGTATATATCCTTTATTTTAAATGTTTTAATTTTGAAAAGTTTTAATATTTTGATATTCACCGCCTTGGGGACCCTACTTGAGTGGAAAGGCAGCATAACAATGTTTTAAATAAAATAAATTTAATAATAAATTTCAAAATAGCCTTACGTATTAAAATATCATATGCATTAATGCCCAAGTTGCCAAATGAAGCTCCATGTGCAAGAAAGCATAAAGGTTTATACACATTACCATTATTCTGAATGTGATTCCCCATTAGAGCAGTAGCCTTATTCTCACAGTGTACTTCAGATTTATATGTGGAAATCTTTCTGTGTGAAGATTCTGCTTATTTGATGAAGTAGGTAGTCATACACTGTAGTACCAGTTCAAACTGTAGGGTATAGGGATGTGCAGTTGGATGTTCCCTGTCCAAAAATATATCTGAAAAATACCTTATTGCTATTTTCCTAATATATTCTGATATCCCAAATACATCTGGGATTTTTGGGGGGATACTGAAAAAAATCCAATATATCTGACTCCAATACAACCGGATCTGGGAAAAAAATGATTTATTTTTTTTGCTGTACACCCCTAGTAGGGTGCTCACCATCCATAAATCTAAAGTTTGTGATAGTGCAACATGCTGCTTTATTACCCAAGACAAAAACATTTTTACCTGGGGTAACCTAACATAGAGGAGGTGATCATCATTTTTTTAAAAAAGCATATAGCCTTTACTAGCTACTGAGAATATCAGTTTAGTAGATTTCATAGTCAATTGAATGGAATTATTTTTATATATGTGCATGTTTGTGTGTGTACCTGGAAGTCATGGTGACCTCTGGTGACTGACCCCTACTGCGGGCCAGGATATTCAGAGAGGTAGCTGAATAAAGCCTGCCCTCACCTCCCAACTGCTGGTATTTCAAGGAGGTCTCCCATCCAAGTACTTTCCAGAGTCAACCCTGCTTAGCTTCTGAGATCTGACAAGTTCAGGCTTGCCTGGCCTATCCAGGTCAGGGGGAATGGAATGAAAATGTTTGCCAGTTTCTGTGAATATAATTTACCTTGCAATCCTATGCAGACTCACTCTAGACTCCATATAGTCATAGTCAATTTATCGATATGTTGTTTCACAATTGAAAAATAATACAAAATTGTTCTTTTCAATGATTGACAACAGTTCGGGGAACAACAGATGATGATGATGAAAAAGAAGAAAAATACACAGACCTCCTTTAGCACTTTCTTGAAATTTTGACTAACTATTCAAATTAGTAAACATGCAAGAACAAAAGAAATCTCTCAGAAAGCATCTGTCTAAAAGAAATAAGACCATTCTGCTTTGCTATCTCTCTGTGTGGTTTTCTGTAGCTGTATGTAGCCTAAGTGGAGAACACAACAACTGAAAGTTAACAAGAAGGAACTAAGGTTTTGTTGTTAGCAGAGGCATTCAACTAGAAACAATTCACTTACTTATCTCTGGGGAACTCCCATTTTGGATCTTCTGGCAGTTCATACTCAGAAACTCCTGCCAGCATTGGAGCATCAGCATTGGAGGAGAGACGTGTAGTTATCCTCACCAAAGGTGTGTTGGAGTTCATGGAGGAGCTAGAGTCTGCAGACACCTGTTTATTAGAAATCAAGATGCAAAGAGAAGATGTAATTTTGGCCCAATTATAGCAAACTGGCTGTACACAGAAACCAAGCCAGTAAAGAAAGGGTACTGAGCTACTGAAAAGCTAAATGAACCACTGCAGACTAAAGATATAAGGTTTCTGGAAATTTTGAAGTCATAAAAACATCATTTATAAGTTAGCTTATAAAATTGTACTATTTAGTATATTTATGAAATTTAAAAGTATAAAGTTGCTACGTTTTTCAAGCAAAATTTCAAATACACCCATTACTAGAGAGAGTGAACTGAAAACTGCTGCACCCTATACTACTTAGCTACATAGTTCTAAAGATCACCCGTAGAAGGCAAGCAGCAATCCACAAACAAAAAGCACCCTGCCTGTAGAACTGCCAGCCTCCAGGTAGGGGCTGGACATTTCCTGGAATTACAGCTGATGTCCAGAGTACAGAGATCAGTCCCCCCTGAAAAATGGCGGCTTTGGACTCTACAGCATTATGCCCTGCTGAGGTCCCTCCCCTCTTCAGACTCAGTCCTCCCCTCCAAAATCTCCAGGGATTTTCCAACCAGGAGTTGGCAACCCTGCTTGTATATGCCTCTCAGGAAAATAAGAGCATCCTCTAAGTGCAGAAAAGCACCTTGGATTTGAATGCACAAAGGGTATATATAGGGATGTCTCTAAAGCTATAGGTTGTCTTGCACAGTGCACATTTTGAGCAGTAAAGACCGGGCAGCATCATTCATTCACAATGAGTACTTCATTGCTTTTTTGATGTGCTTCCCCAAATTTCAATATTTTCCTGTCCATGTCTCTACTGCGGATAATCATAAATGAGGGGTTATAAAAAATTATTCTTCCGTTTCCCCGAAAATAAGACCTACCCCAAAAATAAGCCCTAGCAGGATTTCTATGCATTTGTGGTATAAGCCCTATGTGTCTTCTTGAAAAAAAATAAATATAAGACAGTGTCTTATTTTCGGGGAAACACGGTTGTTTCTGGTTTTGGGGTTTTTTTTTGCTAATTATATCATAAGATGACATGTGGAATTCCCAGCATCAATGTCAGGGATTGGTTTGCCTCGGGCCCCACTGGAGACAAGGAAGGCACAAGGCTTATTTGGTTAGCCTCCTCTGAAGCAGTCAATGAAGAGGCGTGATCTTGCCCCTTGTATTTTGGCAAGCCTCCTCCATGCAGGCTTGTCTGCTGGCTGCTGACCCGCCCACCCTCACATCACAGGACAAGCCAGTCACCTTTGGAGCCAAGTAGGAATTTGGGGGGTTTCCTCTGATTGGCTGTTAAGGGAGCCTTTTTTTTTTTTTTTTTTTTTGCAAGCTTTGTGATGTTGGGGTAGAGGTGGTTAAAAAGGCCTGGTCTTTGGACTGGTTAGGCTATAACCAGTTTGGCAAGAGTAGGGCGGGCTGATCATGATAGGCAGAGATGACTAGCAAGCATCCTGAGGTATCAGCAGTGAAGGAATGCCCTCAGTGTGGAGCAACATTTTTCTGAAGCTGGTAGTGGCCATGCAGCGCATCAGGCTGGGCACATAGTGTGCAGGCAATGATAAGTGAGGCCAGTAGAAGATGCAAGCCAAGTTTGGAGTCAGGGTGGTTCTTCCTAACAATGGTGGCCACTGCCAGAAAGCCTAGCACAGCCTGCCCATTTAAATACGTTAGCATATTTAATGATATGATGTACAGCTGCATAATTAATTGATTAATTAAATAAACCAGTTAAACCAATGCTGTTGTCTCATGTCTTCATTGGTGGGGGGTTCCTGAAGCAATGCTACAGAGCATAACTTTAAAGACATCTAGTAGGAAAACTGATAGGGGCCCCGGTCACACGGCAAAGTTGCCGAGGGAGAGGCACGGATGTTGGGCGGATTATCCGGGTGCGATCACACCACAACATCTGGGAAGTGGAGCGCACCCGTGGCTTACCCGTGACTTTAAAAAGTAGTACCTCCAAAGTACTAGTAAACGTTTGCCACAGGCTACCTCCAGACTCCCGTGGTGTGATCGTGCCGGCGTGCGGCATTCCCCTCCGGTCCCTCGTTTACCTGCTGGTGCCAAGGGAAGGACCCGTGGTGTGCCGCTGGCGGGTCTGATTGCATAATCGCGGATCAAACTGCACCTGGGCAATTAGCCACGCCTCCCCCCCGGCGATATCCGGCCTGTGTGACCGGGGCCTTAATTACTAACTGTCTTTGCATCAACTTTATACTCCTAGTCCTCAAATGATTTGTTGAAAAGTTTCTCTCTCTTTTTAAATTTAAGCATAGCCATTGTTTTTTAAGATCACAAGTAAACTCATTATGTGCATCAGTACTTACAAGATACTTTATATAAAGCATTTATTTAAAGCTATTAAACCAGAATAGTGTTACCAGGAGTGTGTCATTATAATTTTTTGCACTGTTATTTCTACAGTATTTTTAAAAAATTTAGCTGGTTTCTAGTCCTGAATATCAAAGAAGGTTATATAACACTTCTCTAAAACACAAGGTCCATTAAATCATGACAAAAGTAAAATCGTCTACTAACCTAACTAGAACAACATAAATAGAAAGTTCTCATAGAAGAACAGATTGGATTTATACCCTGCCCTTCACTACCCAAAGGAGTCTCAGAGCAGCTTACAATCTCCTTTCCCTTCCCCTCCCCACAACAGACACCCTGTGAGGTAGTTGGGGCTGAGAGAGCTCCTTCGAGGACTGCTCCTGAGAGCACAGTTCTGAAAAAACTTGTAACTGACCCAAGGTCACACCAGTAGCTGCATGTGGAAGAGTAAGGAATCAAACACGGTTCTCCCAGATTACAGTCCATGCTCCTAATAACTACACCAAACTGGCTCTTGGAAAACAGGAATTTGGTAGGATAGGTGATTGACAAAGGAATTCCATAGGAAAGGTGACTGACAAAGATAGAGCAGACACCAACAGCACTTGACAAGAAGTATTTGAAGATCACATGATTATCTCCCAGCCCAAACTGAGGCACAAGCATTATTTCTTTAGGTCTAGTACAAACTTGTAACATCAGCTCCCTCCCTGATTCCATCTTATAATACAGTCCACATGATCCATGGAAGAGAAACATTTTGTTTTATTGCTGAAATGTCATAAATGGATCATATAATGGAAATGGGTTTTCCTCAGGGATACTGGTAGAATCCTCACTTCATCATGATTCAGGGCCTGCTAATCCACCCCCAACTTTTTTTTCTGGTTAGCTGCAATGACAAGCCAAAACCAATTTAGGATGCAGTCAAAAATTTACTGACATGAAACTACAACAGAGACCAGTGAAGCTATGATCGTTCCTGGGTAACTACAGAAGAATAGATAACTGGGTCCACATTCTTTTTTCTTTCTTTCTTTTTTTGGATACCTGCTCCAAAGAAGCCAGGTGCATTCAGAGTAAGAGCAACATTGATCTTAGCTTTCAAATGGTACTCAATCAGTTTCTCAAACAATGGCTCGTTGTTGTTACAAACAATAAAAAAGTCCCAAGATCTTATCTTGTGAGAAACGGGGTGACAGGGCATGATAGAGATTGTTCATTTGAGTCTGCACTAGATTTCAACTTTTATTGTTTAAAACCATCCACCTTCCCAATGCCTTGTAAATGCCACCTGGTTTAACTCTTCATTAAACCAAAAGGAACCTGGTTATTTATTCCCATATCCAAACCTGAAGGCTAAAAGGAACATTCTGTACTTTAAAAAAAATTAATTGAACTCATAAATATACCTCTACTGCCAACCAAAAAGAATCTAAATTCTCAGGAATGAAACTTCCAAAAAAATTCCAACGTATCCCGACAAAAAGACCTATTCTACTAATCCAGGAACACATATCTGTTAAACAAAACACCCTGTGTGGGTTTTTTTAAATTTCTTCAGATTTACAGCAAATATATATTTATATAATCTCCTTATATATAAAAGAGTTTTCGTGTCCCACCTTCCTCAATGTTCCACACGCTCCCACAGCCTTTGGCTCCTTCAGCTGCCACTCTGAAGGTCTGCCAATCCCCTGGCTGCATTGCCTTGGCCCCGCCCACAGAGACAGCAGCCAGCCTCTCGCCCTCAGTCTGGAGGGAGCCGGCGAAGGGGATGGACGCTCCGTCAAGAGAGCGGCAACCCTTCCATGGGGGAAAAGGAGGCAGACCTAGTGAGGCGGCAAGCAGGGGAAGCACTCGCCTTTGCTGCCCCTTGTGGCCCCTCTCTCTCAGCTGCAAGACCGGCGCTTCGTCAGGGTGATAGCTCAACGGGCTGCACCGCAGAGAAGGCTGCCCAGCGCCTTTCAAAGGCTCCCCCGCCTTCCTTCAGTAGCGGCGGCAGTGCCAGGGAGGGGCTGGCCTAGAGGAAACGAGCTGCGGCTCCTGGAAAGCCAGACTCTCTCCTGAGGAAGGCACTTCTCTTGGCTCCTGTGTGGGACTAACTGTGACTAACTTTCCCCTCAGTCTGGAGGGAGCCTTTTTGGCTCCACCAAGGCTTGCTTGCTAATGAGGTGGGTTAGCAACCATCAAACCATTCTCTTCAACCCCCTGCTGTGCAGCTGACTTTCCCTTAGGGCTGCCAATCTCCAGGTGGGACCTGGAGGGAGGGTCTGGAGATCTCCTGCTCTTACTATTGATCTCCAGATGACAGAGATCAGTTCCCCTGGAGAAAATGGCTGCTTTGGAGGGTAAACCCTATGCCATTATCCCCTGCTGAGTCCTTCCATCCCCCCCAAATGCTGCCCTCCACAGGATCCACCCCCCAAATCTCCAGGTATTTCCCTAATCAGAGCTGGCAATTGTACTTTCTCCTCAGTGCCTGTTGCTAGGCAACCAGTTTCTGTCAGTAAAAGGCCCTTTCCACACTTAATTTGGACTTTGGGAGAAAACTCATTGGGGCCAGTCCTGATAGGGTTGCCAACTCCAGGTGGGAAATTCCTGCAGATTTGAGTCCAGGTGGGGGCTGGAGATCACTCAGAATTACAACTGCTCTCTAGGAGGGAGGGGGAGGAGATGGAAAGCTGAAGCCAGGGGGCAGATAACGGTAGGTTGACAGTTGGCTCGGAAGGAGATAAGGTTGCCAACTCCAGGTTGGGAAATTCCTGGAGATATGAGGGGTGCAGCCTGGAGAAAGTGAGGTTTGAGGAGGGGTGGGACCTCAGACAGATACAATGCCATAGACTCCACCCTCCAAACCAGCCATTCCTTCATGGGCAACCACTGTTGCCAGTCTCCAGGGGAGGGATGGAGATCACGCAGAATTACAACTGCTCTTCAGATGGCAGAGATCAGTTCCCCTGGAGATAATGGTGGATTCTGTGTCATTATACCCTGCTGAGGTCGCCACAGCAAATTGACGCTGAATGCCCAAGATCTCTTTCTAGAGCTCGTTGTATTTATTTCCACATTGGGCCTTATTCCGTGTGTGTGTAATCTTCTTATTGTACAGAAACTAAACAGTTACTTTTAGAAATACAAGAAGCTGGAGTGTCACCTTTACCTTTGAAAACCAAATTATCTGTTACCACTCTACTTCGCTTGCTTGGTTTTTTAACTGTAGAACAAACATCTTAGAAATGATGAAAAAAGCATATTCCTTTAAGAATGCTTATAGTAATTTTCACAAATCAGCAAACCTTAAGCAACACTGCACTGTACCAGCTGATATCAGAAAGTTACAGGTTACATTGTTGGGAGTACTCCTTCATGTGTGTCAAAATGCAAGAAAACAACCTCTGCTCAGCAAATCCAGGAAATGGAAAGTTACGCATCAAGTTTTAAGGCAAGTGCTTGCTTTGCACATTGTTCTAAATGTCTTTTAAAACCTTCTGAAAAGTGAACTCTGCATTATGCAACTGTACAAGAAATGATGAAAGTGAGGTCTGTTGTTGGCAAAGGAAAGGACAACTGATGAAAGAGGTTTTAACAAACCGACAGTCTGGGATAACTGCCCTTTGGAAAATGCTGAGTTTATGATGATCCATGGTCTGACTACTGACAGATGTATTGTATACTGACAGCATTTTCCCTGTCATCACCACATGATCAGGTCATCGTGATGCTTTCATTCCAGCTCCAGGCCAATAATCTTTTTATCCAAGTACCGATATACATCTCCCTTTCTAAATGTGCTTGGACTGAAAAATCCCTTTAGTACAGAACAAGACATCCAAAGTTCCAGACGTACATGTATATCTGTGCATGTATGTACATATTTTACAAGCATACTTTCTGTTCAGTACTTCACATATGCATATTAGATAAGATTAAATATTTAACAATTCAGCCACTTTGGGATCAAATATCAGGAATCACCTTCTAAATTCCATCTAACTCTCCACTCTTCTTCCTATTGAGACTTTTTGCTTTTCTTCATCTGCTAATCCTGCTTTCTCCTGATGCCTTTTCTCTGATGTCACAGAAAATTCATTTTAATGCTACAAATGGATTAGTTAGTTCCTCTGGTGCCCTGCCGGTCTTTGGCCTCAGAACTGACGGCTTAGAGGCAACTGGGAATCCTTTGATTCTGAATTCTGAGATCCATAAATAACACAAAATGATTGTCTCGGGCCATGGGTTTTCTAGTGAATCTTTGTAAGAACAAAGGTTCTAGAGTTTTTTCCAAGGGCAAACAGACAATGATTTTCTGTTTAAGTTGATAATACATTTTATACTGTGTTACAATCCTAAACAGGTCTACTCAGAACCCTAGTCAAGTCTACTCAATGGGATTTAATCCCAGGAATAATATTCTAAGGATGGCATTGACAGTGGTGAAGGAACATCAAGTCCATTTTCAGTACAGCTCACTTCCATGAGACACAACCATTTTTCTCTCCTCCTTCCTGTCAAGTCACACAGCTTAGACAGTAATGTTTCAGAAGCAAAAAACAGATGAACAGCTGACAGGTACCAACAGTGGAAGCAGCAGCCAAACTCATTTTGCAGCAAATTCTTCTCTGATCCCAAAGATGATGATCAGTCAGATCCTCATCACAAGCAAAACCCAAAGCCCTCCATGTTCCAAAAGAAAATCTTACTGGAGTCAGCATCCTACCTTCAGCTGTGGCAGTCTCTGAAGTTCTAAGAAAAAGGAGCAGAGGTGGGGGAAAATCCAAGTAATACTTTACCCATAGCACCAGAGAACCTCTGCAGCCTAGTGGCAAAATCCAATTTGCAACACCTGCAAATTAGCAGGTCATTTCAACAAACCTCCTATTTACAAATGCTCTAATTATAACACTTTCTTACTGGACAAAACACTAACTTAGGAGTGACTACTCAAGGAATATGATATCTCATCGACCTAATATGGCCAATGCTTATCTATAATCTATGTTTATATACATGTGAACTGATGCTTGATGATCAGAGTTCTCTTTACTCAACAAAGTTTCTACTGCTCATTAGCTAATTATTTTGTGATACTCAGTAAAAGCTTTTTCAAAGGAAGATCTTTTGAGCAGCATTCTTAAAAATTACAAAATGCAATTAAAACTGCTTAGGCATGAAAAATAGTGCAGTATTAATGGGAAAGAATTTTGACTTGGTCAAGGTTTTTTACTTTGCACTTTCCCCCTCTTTTCACTCAGTTCTGTGTTTTCTGTGTTTAATCCTTCTACAAAGGATTAAAATACAGGACTAATAATTCCTAAAATATTTCAAAACCAAAGAAAAGTCCATCATCAAAACATCAGCATTTTCAAAAAGCATGCACACTAACTGGATATATAAATAAGTGCTTAATTTTCAAATCTTGTTTGCACTTGATAGCAATGCTCCCTCTAAGCAATGGAGTCTTGTGAGCAAAAATTCTACTTTGTGAGCTACTGGGATTAAGGTTGTGAGCGAGCAATTTGGCTACTGCATAAATTAGTTTGCTCTGGAGCCATCCTTTCTGAGCTAAGACAAAAATGTGTGAGCTGGAGGCTAAAAACCTGTGAGCTAGCTCACACTAACTCAGCTTAGAGGGAACACTGCTTGATAGTCATACTCTTGAAGGGACTGAACAAATAAAAGTAGTTCCAATAATAAAAGAGTTTCCAATAACTATGCAGCAACATCAATGAAATGACAGTTCTAAATTGAGCACCTTCTTTCCCCCATGCATACATTTTAAAATAGTAAATGTGAAAGTTTTACTGATTTATTTCAAACATTTATATGCCGCCTTTCCACCCAAACAAGGTCCAGAAAGTGGCCAACAATGAGGCATTAAAACATTAAAACCATTTAAAGTGCTTCTATTTTAACCAAGACCCTATACATTAAATAACTTTGTTTTTATCCATCTTTTCATTAGTCGTCTTTTCACAAAATGGCAAACACGTTAAGAACATGAGAATCTGAGCAGGTTTGGCAAGCAATCATCTGTAAGAAGGCCATCATTATTTAACCAACTAGTTTGCAGTGTATGAATACTTTCCAACATCTTTTCAATGACATATTACAGTTTGATGCTTTCTTTACACATACACAGACACACACTGTACAAGTGGCAACTCACAAACCACCCTTCTTTCCAGACTGCCTCTGAACCATTCGACTAAAATACTTCTGCCTGCATGGTTGCTATCAACTGAAATTGAAACAACATTCACTATAATTTCTCTATTCAAAGTACAATACTAATGCTAAATGAAGGCCTGTGACAGTAATAGGCAAAAGAGAGTCCTGACATAAAACAGTAGAATATATTCTACAATCAAATTTTTAGCATTGCTGATACCATATGAAAAGTTGGTACCAAAATACACAATGCTGCAGGACCACAGGACTTGAATTGCAGTCCTTATTCAGATTCAGACATGTGCTGTTAAATATAGGTCCAGAGAAATCTCTGCAGAAGACTCCTGAAAAAAGATCTGCATAAAGTTGCAGAAAAAACACACGAGGAAATAAAAACCCACCCTCCCTGTAGCACATATTGCTGTGTCTAGATATTTTAGCAAACAAGATTATTCTTATTCAGGTGAAGAATTTGGGCCCCTCCCTCCACGCCTATGCCTGTGGCACCAATTAATCCCTGTACTTTGCAGCTCACAAGAAGGCACCTGCAAATATGCTGTGTTGCCTGTTTTCCTTTCTTAGCATTATTCCCAAAGACTATTATCAACTCATACTAGAAATTTAAGATCCCTTCCGCACATGACAATTTTAACAGTTTCTGCTTTGTCGTTGTTTTATTTGAGTTACTGGCTCATTGGTTTCAGAACTCAAAATAAGTTTCAAAAATTCCCTCAAATGTGCATTTAGTAGAACCCCTTTGTACTACATTTGTACACCAGATGAACAGGATCCCTCTGAGTGAATACAGAAAGCCTCTCCTTTACCACTGAGACACTATGAAGTTCTTCTGGGCCCCAAACTCTGGGCTTCTAAGTTAGTAAGGTTTTTTTTGTTTTTACAAGGCAACCCTGACCTCCCCCCCCCCTTTTTTTTTACACCAAACATTGGCTTTCTAACCACAGGATCTGCTGGCTTGTCTTTTTCAAGGGATGGGTAATAATTTTTTTTCAACTCTTTATCTACTTTCTGTTACCTGTCTGCGCAGAGGAATACGCTTAGTCAGCTTGTGGACAGCTGGCTGGCTGCTGAAGTCTGGCTTCTTCGTGGTGGTTTTCATTCGGCACAGGATGACTGTCGCCACCATACAGACAATCAGGAAGACCCCTACACAGTAGATGGCTATTTCCAGGTAGTCTGGGGATGTTGGGTATGGCCTGTCTTCTACAGAAGCTACAGTGCAAGTTTGAAGGAGGAACAATCATGCCAGAGAATTAGAATACAGCAAAAAGATCATTTGCACAGCATGTCAAACAACATGGTACCACATCGGACTAAAGAAAACTTTAAATGAACCACATGAGATACAGAATGCTGAAGATTTCCACAGCACGGAAATGGTTACAATGAGCTTGGAGGAGGTAAATGGACCATTTCCAAACCACCTCAATTCAACCTTTTTTCATGAGTTGGCTTAAACGGCCTGTTCTCTCATTGTGCCTTTCTCAATTCTTCTACACAAAAATCAGTGCACTGTTAATAGCAGATCCTATTTAAACTTTAAAATTAAAAGCTACACATTGAGATTAGGCTTGAGATCACATTCTTTTCTTGCGCTATTTTTCTTTTTAGCCAACTTTCTTGAGACAGGAAAATGGGCAATAATTCACTCCAGATGAATCAATATTTGTCCGAATTGCCCAATCTTTGGCCTGCAGCAAATGACAGGTTTAATAAAATAATTTTTCAAGAGCATTGTATTTAACTCTGTGAACCACCTGAACACACAATGAAAGGCAAACAAGCACGGAATTAGCTAGATGAAAAGCAAGGCTTATAGGACACCAAAGCATAACAAAAGTTAAGGCATGAACTAGCCAGGCTTAGGCATCTAAATAATTCTTTATAGTAAGAGTTAGACTAAAGCAGTCCTATATTACAAGTATTCACATCTACTTAGGCCAAGGCTGAAATATTATTAGATGCTAACCTTTCATTACAGGGGAATTGGAACTGTTTGCCTATTTATCTCTTCATTCATTTGAAAACTGTAGACTGTGCGTAGATTCCCATGATGCTTTCTGCTTCACCTCACTATTTTTTGAAACCACAATGGCTAAGAATCACCTGAAACTCCAATGTCTCAGAGGGCCCAATACAATTCAACTTCTGGGCCACTACAAACATTAAAACTTCCTTTTGCATAATGGCCACGCTTCTTTTGTCAAAACGTGTTTAGCTTCCCTTGAAATTATTCAACTGTTATGCTGGAAGTTCCAAACTAACCTCAAATTTCAACCTGGGCAAAACGTCCCTGAGGAATTTATCTAATCTTACTGAAATTCCCTTATCTTTTCTCAAAATGTACCAGATGCTTTGCCTGAGCAGGAGACTCCAAACTTGCCTCACATTTGCACTAAAACTTGGGTCACAAACTGGTTAGGTCTTTTCTGTTATGAGGCAACATTTCAAAAATGTTACTTTCAAAGTGCACAAATAACTTCACCATAAGAAAAAAGCAGGTGTGTGAGCAAAGAAAACTGGTAATTCCTTTACTATGCCTATAAACATATACTCTGCTCTCTTGATTATTAACCATGGGTCACAAAAACTTGTTCCGTTGTTCAGATGGATAAATTTTTCTCCTGGAACAGGAGAAGTGAACTTCAGGGTGGGGAGAATGCCGCATCTGGCCTTTCATGTGGGACTACACAGGATCATAGGAAGGAGGTAAGTGGAATATAGTATTGTCACAATACCATGGCTTGTTTCTTCCATCATGGTAAGAACTATGTTAAATGAGAATCCCCCGTCTGAGAATATTTTGAAATTAGGCTTGGAATGCTGAGTTCACAGAGATGGATACGCAGACTCATGGGTAAGTCTACTGGTGGAAGACCCAATTTATTTCAGATCTTAAACACCACATAGACCATAAATGCCACTGAACAATGGCGGTACCACATTAATTAGTGTTAAATAAGTAGATGCAAACTATTATGATTATATAGCATAATAATGTTATTGGTTTTTGATGTTTAAATTTAAATATATACATATATAGCTATTGTGACACAAATCACTGTAACATTTATTATTATGTCCTCAACAGTCCAATCCCACACATGACTACTCAGAAGTAAGTCCCACTATATTCAATGGAAAATTACTTCCAAGTCAGTTGGGCACAGGATTGTAGCTGAAGCCTTTTACCTATCCCAAATCATGACAGCAACAATCAGCATTCTACCACAAGCAGTGTTCATTGCAATTGGTTCTTATTTCTCATCCTGTGTTAATGTAAGTTTCATTCAAACAAACAGATTAAGAAGTGGTGCGGAAACACTTGCAAAAATGGAAACAGCCCTGCAAGCAGAAGCAACAGGCACTTCAAATACAGACTACCTGTTTAGTGAAGAACATTCTATGGGAAGCTTAAGAATTAATACATTAAGGAAGGCAATAATGTGGAATGTCTCAGCCATTGAGAAGAAATGCCCTAGAAATCTTGAGATTCATTCATATGGCAGTACAGTATTTAATGAGAAATGCAGTTTTGCTATACACGCATGCAAGCACCAATTCTTTATTTAATATTAAGATATAACAACCAGCAACTTACTGTGAGCACTTCTGTGTGTGCACATACACAAAATAGAAAAAACAAGGCAGTGCCACTACACTGAACAGCAAGCAAGTTTCAAGAATACCAACATCTATAATTATTTTTTTCTAACAGACAATCATTCTCAGGCAATGAAGCGTGTTAATGTGTGTTTCTGCTAAAAACAGAAACATCACTCTGAGCATGACAAGACATGCTTTGCAGAAAAAAGCAAATTAGCTAGCAATTTGCTTAGAACATGCATTATTGAAAAGGTACACCAAGTTGATTCCAAAGGTATGTTTAAAAAAACACTGCTTCTGTATTCATGTTTCAGCATAGCAAATGCTCACAGAGACTAAAATTAACCTAGGCAATCTGACTAGGTTGAGGCTTTTGACAGTGTTACTTAAAAAGTCTGAACTTCACAGGGGAATTCTGAATACCCTCTCAAGGGATGTTTTAAGGTTTTTGAGCTGAAGTATCTCACCCAAAAACCCTTTTATTTCGAATTTATAACAAACATTAAGATGGTGAAAAAAACACTTATGTCTGAAAGCCCTTCCGTTCATCACTTTAAAGCTGAAGGGCAGCATTTTGCTTTTTAAAAAAAAATCACTTGAAGAAGATTAAAAGCCCATTTTTGAGACAGAAGCTGTGCTAATTTAGCAGCAATCATCAATGAAGCAGGGAGGGGGGAAACCACTGAAAGATAGCAGTATATACCTGGCAGAACTGTCAACCATGCAGAGTGAAAGGATATCCCAATAGAATTACCCGCCAAGCATGTATACTCCCCAGCATCCTCAAAAGTTACATTCCGTATATAGAGAACCTCAATCTCTTTGTCCGTAGTGTTAACACCGGCAGCCTATAAAAAAAAGGGAAGCAAGAGAAAAAAACTAGACATTTTAGGAATTCTTGTGGATGGGAAGTGGAACCACGGAGATCTTGGCACGTCAGAAGAAACAGTGGTGCACAGCCGTGGGAAGATCCCATCCACAAAGCCCTCAACCAAAAGATGATTATGAACAGATCCCAGCTCACCTTAGAGAGGAATGAATCAACACCCTTCACCAAACCTATACTCACCACCTAAGTACGCATGCAATCAAACAACATGGAAAAATTCGCCCACAAATGTTTTTGTTTTACAAATGTTACAAACAGAAAGACAGATTAAAAATAAAAGAAAGTGCAAACAAAGGGACATCTGTCTTACTTAAGATGCCATTCAAATTAAGAAAAGGGAATTTTAGAAACACATAATGAAGAGATGAAGCCAGAGAGACAAAACTTGATAAAAGAGATGTGCTCATATACTCAGGGTGAACTGAAACCCCCAGATTTTCTGATCTACTGAGCCTCGGATTTTGTTCATTTCATTAGCACGAGGCTGCAGTGGACCACTTCTTCCCAGGCCAACAACCATCTGGTCATGCCTAACCATAGTAGACCTAATCTGGATCCACAATGGGTTTCAATTCATATGTATGGCGATCAAAAGTGTGAAAAACTTGGCCCTCTGATTACTTCTAAACACTTCATATTGTCAAGAAATCAAAAGGGTGGACACTGACTTCTCTTGGTGGCCCGATGAACTGCTACACTAGCCTTTTACTTTCTTGCTACAGATAATCTATGGTGAATGTAACTATTAAGTTTAGAGATCAGGAGCACAAGTAGGGCCATTTAAAGAACCACAAGCAAGAAATATTAAATTGAACTATCCCTTCCAGAGCAGCCAGTAATGCTACATTATGGTATGAAGTAGTTACCTGTTCTGAACCAGTAGGTACATGCCTACTGATCATGAAGAAGATGGAAATAAGTTGTCTCTCAAATATTCCAAGTTTGTAAACCTGTAGGTTTTGGTTTGCATTTTTTAAAAGGCTTTAATAGGAAACTATGCTCTTCACACTACTCAGACCCCTGTATCACACAGGTAAAATGCTTATGTAAAGCACCATGAATGTTATATCCTCAAGAGGATAGGTCTATAGAGATTTTTACTGAGCATACTACTAGATCTGTTTAAAAAAATCTAAAATATGATATCATTGAAATTACACTCACGGTCTGGTTCTGCCCCAATTAGTGGCAGAATGACAATAATAATGATAAAGAACTCACCATACATGGAGAGTATCATCAATAGTTAAAAAAAAACCTGAGGAAGATTTAGACTGATTAGAATTTTTTTCACATTGCACTGAGAACCAATATATGTGAACACAAATGAACAGGTCAAAATAAAAGAGACAGTAGGAAAGTGGGTTTTTTAAAAAAAGTTACTAAAAATACACTACACAGTATTTGTGGGAATTTTTCCATGGCTACTGGAGTAATACCAGTTGCATCTCCAAGGGAGGATTATAAATATACCAAGGTCATAGAGTTATCCTACAAGCTGCCTGCAGAGTCCCAAAGCACCAATTTTTTCCAGCTTCTACATCCAGCTTTCTTTAACAGACGTTGTTACCTTTATCTGGCAGAACTGTAAGCCAGGCAGACTGGTTGGCCTCCCCTATATAATTGGAGACCTTACAAATATATTCTCCAGCATCCGCCTCTGTCACATTGTACAGTTTCAGCACTTCAGCATTGGAACTATTTATCCCCGAATGCTAGAACAGACCAATAACATAGGAGAACAATGTAACTGCTGCCCCAAATGTAAACACCAATATGGTCCCGTCACCAAAACATTCAAAGAAGTCTTCCATTTAGCATAGACATTAGTATAAAAACATTTTACTTGTAAAAAGAACACATGAAGATTATTTTGTACAAAATGGGGAGGGGTCTAGTTTAGTAGATACCTAGGAGCAATGTTTTGCCTTAAAGGACAACACTGCTTTACAACAAGCCACTTCTATGTAACAAAACTGGTCAAATAGGAAATTTCAAAAACTGGCTGCTAACCTTAAAAACCATTGCCCCATATAAAAGTGGTGAAAACCTGACTTCTTGGTATCTCTGACATAGAAAATCCTGCTCTGCCAATGTCCTTTGGCAGCAAACCTGGTCATTACTGAAAGACCTTTAATGTTTTCCCAGGCTCTTAATAACAAAGATCAAATCAATTTTCTTTGGTTTATTTTGGACACTCATTGCCCAAGAATAAATCTCAAGTGATGTCAAGATAGTGGTGTTGCAATTTTCTTAATAAGTGACCATGCTGTCTGAAAAACAAACAAGCAATCTGTGTGCAAGTAAAAGACTTTCTGGAATCCAAAAAGGGGAACTAACTTTTGCTTTTGTTTAGACCAGCAACTATGTGTTCCAGCACATTTATGGGTTGGCACAAATAAAAGCTTCTGGGTCGTTAAAAATAATTCAATCCCAGTTTCAAAACTCTTGGCCTCACTCAACAGCCTTTCTCACAATCTAATAAAGAATTACTCATTGTCGGGGAGGGGGGAAGCTTACCTTTAGAACTTTCAGATACGGTATTCCATCTGCATCATGTTTACTTCCATTTTTTTCTATGTGCTTTATCCACTGGATATGAGGCTGAGCATCACTGTAGACTTTGCAGACAAACTCTGCATCACCCCCCACAATGGCTGAGGTATTTGCAGGTAGGCCTGCTTGTAGGATAGGCCTGTGTGGTGATCGTTCTGTCAGGAAGTAGAAATGGTGGGGGGAAAGAGAGAGAGAGAGAGAGAGAGAGAGAGAGAGAGAGAGAGAGAAACATATAAAGATGCAGAACTAAGAAGAGCTGCCAAGAAAACTGTTAGAGAACATGAGCCAAAAAGCCCTGTAAGCCTGTTGGCTGACTTCACTGAAATCACGCTGTAACCAAAATGTAGAACAAAAAAAACCTTCCACTTCAAAGGAGGTGCTTGAATACTACAGTAGAGTGTTGTACAATGACTCTTTTTTAAAAAATACGATGCAGAGCATGAGGTCGTATGGAGGCAACATTTAAAGCACAATTCCCTAAGTATTTTTTCCCCCAGTATGGAAACGTTCCTTTTATTGATATTAACATGAGGACAGAGCATGTCAGGTTTCAGAGAGCCCCACTAAATAAGAAGAAAAAAATATATTTTTACACTTCTGTTATCCTTTAATTGATTGTAAGTGATGCCAAATCAGATAAAATACAAAGATGAAGTCAGTAGATATGTTGCTAAGGCCATCCATCGCTAAACCCTTTGGATACAAGGCACTTGTGCAGTCACTGTTGTGCCATCAATAAGCACACAAACTGGGTACATAGTGTAACACTCATTGAAGCTGCACGATCTAGAATTTAGACAAAATATAAACAGGGAAAAGATCTCAAGAATAAACAGTAGCGCTGCCTATACAACTAAGTATCTTTTTAAAAATTATAAGAATCAGAGACTACGGATCAGCAAATAATATATGCTACAGACTGTGCCAGCAATTAATATATGCTACAGACTGTACCAGCTACGATTAATAGAACCAGTCTTCTAAGAACAGAACAGACATGCCACATACAAACTCTGTGGTCTTTGAAACTTGTTGAATTTTCTTCCATGAGATCTAGAGAGCAAAAGAGTGTCATGGGTACACTAAAATACACATGGACTGATGCCACTACTGAATGGTCAGACTCCACCACTGATTTCTGTGAGAACTTCAGTAGCATTAAGGACATTTTACAAACCTCGGGGGGGGGGAGGGATTTTGGTTAGAGAGTCTTCATATGAAAGTAAATGTTTCTGAGGCTAAGTATATAGAGAGTAAAATGGATTAAAACAATTAGAGCACTTTTACACCATCAAAGAGCTTCAAGTCTACAAGTGAAAGCCACCAGTTCATAGGACCCAGTCTTTTGAATTATTTGGTAAGACTTAGTGTCAGAAACTTTTCACAAACAAAAGTTCCTAAAGGAGATGGTTCCATAATCAGATATGTTCCATTAATGGCTATTTAAGGCAATCACACTTCTTGCTTCACTTAAGAACTCCCTGTATTTATATGTAAGAATAAAACTTAAAGCCATTCTGTGCATTGCCCGTGAGATGTAGAAATGCTATAATTTAAAAGTTTTTTTAAAAAATGCAAATTGAAATTAAGGTATATTTATAGTGCTGGGGGGAAATATCAATATTCATTGCTTTTACTAAACTTTCCTATCTGAGTACCAAGAAGCAGAAAACCCAAGCATAATTCCCTTTAACAGAAATTGGTTTTAAATTGAAGAGGCAAATGAAGTGAGGATTAGAACGGTTCCAATAGAGATGAAGCCATCTTAGATTTTAGCACAGTCCTAACACAAACTCAGGATCTGATTAAGACAGCCTCCACCTCCACCTACCTTAGCTGCAAATGAGTCAGAGAAGAGTCAACAGTGTGCTAACTAACCCACATACCATATCACAGTGGGAGAGATTAACACCCCTAGGAGCTATTGTTAAGTATTTGTCACAGCTTTAGTTTGCCAAAACTCACAGGAACATTGATCTGATGTAGACTTTTGTTACCCAGTACAAAAGAAACTGTTTCATCATCATGAAATTATGTCAGCTGTTCTTGCCCCAAGATGGCCACTTTGGTACACGACCTAGCTTACTGGCCAATATGTTAGGCTGCCTCCATCTACATCACTGGATATTGTGCTATCATAGTGCTACAGCAATCATTTGCAACCAGACGGGTATATTCGTAGAGGAAAATCTAGGTGCAACTGACAATAGCACAGCATTTGTAGAGTTATACAGCCTTACTCATTGATCTGAACTGTTTTGCTGCAACCTTGCCATATTAAGACTTACAGGTGCTTTAAGCCATGCTACATTAGGATCTAATGTACATTAGGATCTAATGATTTTCCTTATATGTATTGGAGAGTGGGAAGTATTTTGAACTTTTAAAATTGGGATGTTTTATTCTTGTTGAATCTCATTACATGTATGGTGGTAGAAAGTGCCATCAAGAAATACCCAACTTATGGCGACCCCGTAGGGCTTCCAAGGTCAGAGATGAACAGGGTTGCGCCATTGCCTGCCACTGGCCCCTGCCATACGGCAGGGAAAAGACGGGGCGAAGCGCGGCTTTTAAAAGCCGTGCCAAAAAAGAAACGCCCTGGCGGGATCCCATGGATCCCGGTTGCCACGCTCCGTTGCAGTCGGATACCAGTCGGATGGGGAGGCTGCCGTACTGCGCATGCTCGAGCATGCGCAGTACGGCAGGGGGCCGGGGATGCGACGGCGGCAACACGCGCCGCTGATCCCACGGCCGGGATGAAGCGGACCATCCGGATGAACCACCGAAGGTAGGTGGTTCATCTTTGCCGCGCTTCATCGGGGGAAGAGCCAGATTGGAGGCGGGAGCGCGACGCCAGCCAGATGTTGGCATGGGATCGTGCCCGTTTGCTGCGCTTCCAATCTGGCCCGCTCCTGGCCCAAACTGCCTCGTATGAACGGGGCCTCTGCATAGCAGCCCTGGACTTCTTTGGTGGTCTCCCATCCTAGTACTAATCCGGGCCAACCCCTCGCTTAGCTTCTAAATTCTGATGAGATTGGGCCAGCCTGGGTCACCCAGGTCAGAGCCATTACATGTGTAGCTCAAACGGAAGTTTGTTACATAATATGAATGTACAGTCTTTATGTTTCTGAATATGAATATAAAGTTTTACATATGCTGTCCACTTCTCTTTTGAAGCCACAATGGACAAAATCTCAAGAAGAAGAGAAGGTCTTTTGACACAATTCCCTCACTTTTTTTCTGAACAGAGTTCAAAGAGATTCTCTGTGGGGGAAACCTTACAGTGGAAAAAGTGACATCCCCTAGAGATTGCACCAACACACACACAGTTCACATTTTGACTGACTCATTTTTATTGGCTTGACTTCTTTTCATTGAGTTGGTGGTACTATTTTGTTGTGAGCTGCCTCGAGCAGTTTGTAGAGAGGCGGCATACTAAATAAACACATTTCTACACAGTTGCCAGACGACAAGGGTGTAAATTTAGTATTGTTCCATTTCCTTTTCGCAAAAGATGAAAGACCCCCCCCCCCCAAAAAAAGATTAGATTTACAAACATAAGTAACATGTCAGGAGGCCTGTGTCACTCTCATTAAATGTTTAAGCAAACTTAAGCAAATCCCAAATGTAGTGTGGTCCCTCTTAAACATGCTGGCTTCCAATAAATTATCTTAAAAGCAAAGCATTGAGAGTGTAATAGCAAATAACGATGCCTGCCAAACAATGGAATCTTTCATAAATCCCTATGTATTTGGCATGCTACAAATGCCTACTGGGAATTTATTCATGGACACAGTGCTGGCAGGGTACTATAAAATAGCAGCTTTATTTTACTTGTGGCTAAGGAACTCTTGCAATGCTGCTGTTAAATCATGCCTTGGCTATGTGCAGGACTATCAGCCTTAGTTCAACACAAGTGCCGTGTCAGCATGAGATTTCCTACTGGGCTCAGATGAAATACAGAATCACCGCTTTCATTTTAAAAATTAACCAGGCATTTTGTCCTATGACTACAAAGATACGAGGGTAACAGGGTGACAGTGATCTGAACATATTCTTAATTATCTCTGCATACACTGATGGAATATGCAAAATAAATGAATGTGTATAATACTGCTTAATTTGTACTACAAGTGGGGACTCACAAGAAACTTGCGGGAGCAGCTATCCCATTCCCCTTACCTTGCTTCCTCCCCTCTTCCCCTATTTCTCTCACACTCTTTCTCCCTCCTGCCACCCCTTTTCTTATTCGCTCTCTCCTCCATGCCTGACTTCCTCTCTCTTTCTGCCTCCATGATCATTCTCTTTTTCTTATTCTGCCTCCCCACCTCATCACTCTTTCTCCTTTTCTTCCCCCCACTCCATCACTTTGGTGTAGTGGTTAAGCGTGTGGACTCTAATCTGGGAGAACCGGGTTTGATTCCCCACTCCTCCACTTGCACCTGGCTGGATGACCTTGGGCAAGCCGTAGTTCTGGCACAGCTGCTCTTGAAAAAGAGCAGTTTCTGTCAGAGCTCTCTCAGCCCCACCTACCTCACAGGGTGTCTGTTGTGGGGAGGGGAAGGGAAAGGAGTTTGTAAGCCTCTCTGAGACACCTTTGAAGGGCAGGATATAAATCCAATTTCTTCTTCTTCTTTCTGCCCCATCACTCTCCCAGATGCACACCTGCTTCCTCCCCCCCCCCACCCGCAGCAGCAGCAGCAGCATAGGTTCTCCAGGAATCACAATGAATCTCCCAACTACAGACATCAGTTCTCCTTGGGGTTGCCAGCTCCAGGTTGGGAAATTCCTGGAGATTTGGTGGAGCCTTAAGAGAGTGAGGTTTGGAGAGGGAAGCAACCTCAACATGGTATAATGCCATAGACTCCACCCTCCAAAGCAGCGATTTTCTCTACAATAACTGATCTCTCTCATCTGGAGAGCAGTTGTAATTCTGGGTGATCTGCAGCCCTCACCTGGAGGTTGGCAATACTAGTTCCCTTGAAAGAAACAGCTGTTTTGGCATTACACCTGTCTGAGGTCCCTCCCCTTCTCAAACCCCATCCTCCACAGGTTCCACCCCTCAAATTTACAGGATTTGACCAGCCTAGAGTTGGCAACCCTATTTCCTCCCCACCTAACAGACAACCTACCTTTATCTTCTCCTCTGTCTTCA